GGCAGGGGGGGGGGGACCATTCTACCACAGGTAGCCCATAAAATGATATAGTCTATAGGTACAAAAAAAAATGTCAAGGTATATAATATGAACGTCAAAAGTTCATATTTTGCGTTATTAAAGATCGGAGTAATAGAGTGTTTTCACTCACGTGAGAAGGCAGCCATAAACAATAGAAACTTTCTGCACAGTATTTTGCATAAAAATAGAGTTCAATTACCGGAGGATAGAAAATGTATTGTTTTGGTACCACCCACATAATGGCCGCTGTGACGTCACGTGAAAACGCTCTATATGCTTGGAAGATGGATGCTTCTTCTGTAAAAAAAAAAAACAAATTGCGGGAGTCCTGTGGTTTCACTCGGGTGTCGCTTGACTCAAACACTAAAAGTTTAACTCGTTATCCTTGTGTCTGAGACGTTTACTTTGAAACAGAAACACTTAACAGGATCCTAAAATCTTTGAAGAATATTCCGGTAATCTTACTCGACGTTTTTAGAAGAGAGTTCCTAAAAATAGCGACCTCAACAGTTGAACATGGTCTAGTATAAGTCGTGTGTATACGTACCAGCCTTCCTCCATGAATGAACTAGAAAATTAGTTTTCTGTTGTAATTCACCTTCCCTTCCTGCCTAAGTTAATGGTATAGAAGCATGTAGTATTCTATAATTTGGTACTCAAGCACTTCATAAACAAACCACGAACTGAACAAGTGAACTTTGTTCGCCAAAGATGAACATAAAGGAATGCTTTTACGACACCAATGGAGTCTGACTCGAGAAACTCGTAAGTTCTTGAACATGAATTGAACTACATCTATTTTGAATTTACTTGAACCCATAACGGCTTACGATTTAACAACTTGATTACTAAGTTGCGATCATGGGTTATTATTTCTCACGTAATCTTAAAATGGTAAACTTAATGGCAGCTAAAGGATTTGAGCGAGTTATATTTTATATTGGACAGTCTGAGGTGGCTGAGGTTGGAGGGGAAAATGCTCACTAAAAATATCTTTAAAAATGTTCTTTCTTTAAGCAATTGTAATTACAAGGGCCAATTCTTTTTAAATCTGCGTAGATTTTATAGGAATCAGCTTTAAAATTCCGTTTTTTGTGATAACAATAATATGGAAATAGCGACTTGATTGATCACGTGACTAACTTAAAGTGGTAAGAATTTATCTTGCATTAGATTGTAATCTTTGTTTTAAACATCCTCCTCTTTTCTATATCTTATCCTTTTCTTCTAAGTTTTTCCAATTTTCTCGTCCTCTTTGAGATACAGTATACTTATGATTAGATTATGGTTAAATTGTGGGTCACTGTCCATTATTTAACTATATGTACTAGTAGTATCTTATTACTAGTATCTTAACTTGCATGTTCTTGTTTAAATATTGTTTATTAGATAGACAAACRAACAAAACCCAAAGTTTTGTTTGACTGCTTATTGGTATTAGATGGGATCCAAATTGTTGTCTATTTGGTCGTTTAATTGTTGACTATTTATCATAGTGGGTCTTACAATAGACGTTTTCTGAGATATGGAACCTCAGTGGGGTATTTGGTCTAGCTTTAAGTGCAAACATCTTTTTTCCATCATTCATATATRCTGTATGGCGTTCGTACCCAAGATAGTCCACAATGCATCCTGTTTATCATACTTAAAAAAGATCTAGTGGCTATGGCTTGTGATATGTTTACTTCTGTTATCTATTGATGTTTGTTTGTTTTAGCACACAGAGTTAGAAGTACGTTACAGTCAAACTACCTCAAGCGTGAACACGTAGAGGTAATTAATGACTTTATATTTGGATTCTTGATTTCATTATTCGATTCCAACATTCATTAATGAAAACGAATCTTCAATATTCAAAAAATGATAATAATTTGAAAAATCGATTAACTTGGCTCGTAGGCTCTTGTTTATAGCACAAACAGAAGGTAAGTCATTAATATTACATATTCCTTGCACAAAAAGTTGTTTTTGCATTTCAGTTGCATATATGCTTGGCTTTTGTATATGCCAGGCTTTGAAGATTCGAATCAAATAATGAAATCAAGAATCCAAAAATAAAGTCATTAATGACCTCTAYGTGTTCACGCTTGAGGTACTTTGACTGTATACACTTGATAAGGTTAAAAAACAGTATTAGTAAAAAATATGACCCCAAAATTGGTATCTGTAGAGTGTTGGTAGATAGAGTGTTGGAAGATTTGGGTGTCCTCTTTACTTTTATCATAAAAAAACTAAATAAAATCATTTACATTTCAATAATATCATCAAGGTTGAGAATGTCAGATGAAGATGAAGAGGAGCTTAAAAACTATGAGACAAGTAAAGGAGGCTCTGGAAAGAGAAGGTACTGAAATGAATGTTGTGACAATAAAAGTGTTTACATTCCTTTTTAAAATCCTAAACAGCTCTCTATATTTAATATACTTATACAGAGTTATCTTTATTGTAGGACAACCAGGAATGAAAGTGAGAAGCGACGCAGGGACAAACTAAATATCTACATTAATGAACTTGCTTCCATGGTTCCAACATGTGCTACTTCACAAAAGAAACTAGACAAAACAACTGTTCTAAAAATGACAGTGAACTATATGAGGATCCATAATGGTAATTAGTAAGATGTTGGTAAAGTTTCTTTATCCTACAACATTTGTCTAACATGCCCACGTACCATAAAATACCAGTTATAAGTTCCCCCCCCCCCAGTCATAAGACTACCAGTCTGCTAACTCAAATATTCTTCCAGTCCTTCCAGTTAAGTCCCCCCTCCTCCACGCTTTTGGCCCACCTCTGAAACCTGGTATTTTTTTTGTTGATGAAACATAAGATTGAATATAGAAATAAGAGAAAGAAATAACCATTATGTCTTCATTCCAAACTCTTCGAAATCTTATTCCTCCCATTTATAAGCCCCTCCCCTCTAGCGTTTTATGAAGAACCAAGCGTGAAGAGGTTAGGTGACACGAGGTGATAAGCCCCTTCTCCCAAAGTATAAGCCCTCCTGGTTATAAGCAAATCAAAAACCCTTACTGATTTGTATAAGCTTGGGGTTTATGACTGCAATTTTGTGGTATCATGCCATTAATTTATTGGTTTCACTCTGTAGGGATTTGGTCAATGCAGATTGAAAATTGCTAGCTAAATTTCTGCTTTACTTGAAAAGATCATTAGGGTTTCTTAAGCTTGTTTACTTCTATTGCCATTTCCTTTAGATTATTAGAATATTCCATATTAATTTATACTCTCCTTATTTTTTAGATCTGACTAGCTCAGTATTAGGTAAAGAATATGGCCTTCACATGTCCTTTCTTTCAAGTGGTGAAATTTCTTGTCTGTTGGACGAGGTAATATCAAAGTCCCTTATAGAGATTTTAGGATTCAAGACTGTTATAGGGGAAGTGAACTTGCCTCTCAGCTCTTGGGTCATGGGTTCCATTTCTTGGCTTAGTATCACATGTTACTAGAGTTTGTTAGGACTCTCCAGGGTTTGATAAAATATTGATGTTTGATAAAATATCACCTCTGGAGTCATGGGCTCCATTCCCTGGCTTGATATCACATTACTAGAGTTTGTTAGGACACTCCAGGGTTTGATTAAATATTGATGTTTGATAAAATATCACCTCTGGAGTCATGGGTTCCACTCCCTGGCTTGACATCACATGTTACTAGAATTTGTTAGGACACTCCCATGTTTGATAAAATATTGATGTTTGATAAAATATCACCTCTGGAGTCATGGGCTCCATTCCTTGCTTGGTATCACATGTTACTAGAGTTTGTTAGGACACTCCAGGGTTTGATAAAATATTGATGTTTGATAAAATATCACCTCTGGAGTCATGGGCTCCATTCCCTGGCTTGGTATCACGTTACTAGAGTTTGTTAGGACACTCCAGGGTTTGATTAAATATTGATGTTTGCACTACTTGTATTTAATTCCTTCCTTTATGTGATTTATCTGACTTATAGGCCGACCCATCCTTATGATTTTTTTTTGCATATCTTTTTCAGTCTCTCAATGGATTTATATTTGTGCTTTCAAGAATAGGTGAAATCGTCTACATGTCACAAAGCATCACTCCACTGTTAGGTTATGAAGTGGTAGGTGTCTCAGTGGATACATAACATACACCAGCAGAGGGAGGGGGATATGGGGGGGGGGGACATGTGCCCTCCAAAGGTTTGCTTTTGACACCAATTAATAATTAATTCATGTGGGATTCCTGTGGATTTGGCAAGAAAATGAAATGGCACATTGCTCCCATGTGGGGGGGGGGAAGGATTTAGAGCAAGTTGTACGGAGATGCTCTGCTCCTTAAATCTACCCATTACCCTTCTATATACCAAACGTTTTTGAAAAAAAGGTACCACTTTCAAATAACCAATAGTGTTTTCATGTTTAATATGTCCAGTATACAATATTCTAACTTATTTCAATAAAGTTAGTCACCTGAAAAGCTATAAAGCTGAGGCCGGCAAGGATTATGGGTAAATTCATTTTACATGTTCAAGCGCTTGATAACTGTTCATGGACTTGCGAATCTTTTACCGGTTACAGTCTCACCTCTTCTGAGCATCATCAAGCTGCAGTTTGTATTAAAAAAGCTTTGTATATATATGCTTTTTTGATATGAAAAGTTTCCCATGATGCTCATATCAGTGATCTCAGCTTTCTAGGTTTTTGGTGACTAACTTTATTGAAATAAGTATATGTGAATATCTATCGCCACTTACATGCATTGAAGTTTGGCTTGATTTCATTGAATAATAATTTTAGCTTCCACTTCTTATACTATTCTAAAGTCTCTCCTGTAAATATAATTTCTTATCCTAACAGGATCAAATCATGGGTAGGAATTTGATAGACTTTGTTCATCCAGAGGACAAATCAATAGTTTTGTATGAACTGAGTGGAGACAACAAGGATTGTATAATGCAGTCAGATGTAAATGGTTAGTCAAATCAGCTACTAGTTATACACTTATCTGAATAATTTAAAGCATAGGTGATGTGCATGCTAGCTAATATAATGCTTCTAATCTTCTGTGCTCATCGGTTTGATCTTTGAAATTAGAATCAAATCCATGAGTAGAGTTACAACAGGAACCAATAATATTTGTGCAAATACAAGAATTGTCTATTGTTTTCCATTTGCAATTCTGATTGCATTTTATATTCTTAGGACTCCACAGAATCAACAGCAAGCCAACAAGACACAGCTTTGATGTTCGCATTGAATGTGTATCTGACAAGCACTTCACTGACAACCAAGACCCATATGAAATGGTTCACGTCCTTGGGTATACAGACATCTGGGAAACCAAGAAACAATCACAAGGTACATTCAGTCAAAGTTCTCTTTACAGCTAGACTCTATTGCTTTCAGTATCCCATGAGAGAGATGAAGACAAGTTTCTAGTCTACTGTACACATTCCAAGGCTGATAATGATGGTGGTTGTCTGTGTTGGTGGTGATGGTGATGATGATGATGATGAGGATGATGAGGATGATGAGGATGATGATGATGGTGGTTGTCTGTATTGGTGGTGATGGTGATGATGTTGATGATGATGGTGATTATGAGGATGATGATGATAGTCGTAATGATGGTGGTGATGATGATGATGATACATGATGGTGATGATACATGATGATGATGATGATGATACGTGATGATGATACATGATTATGATACATGATGATGATACATGATGATGATGATGGTGATGATGACTTATGATGATGATGATGATATTAATAATAGTAAATAATTATTATTAGTGTTAGTAAAGACTGGAGTGTCCTTGGAAAGTGCACCTCAATATTCATAAGAAGGTCTCAGGTCATAATGTAGAGTTGAAACTTTGCCTTCTTACCAATATTGGGATGCTCTTTCTAATTGTGGTGTTGATATTGACACAACTGCTTGGTTTAATGGGGGTTATGTCACCTGACTTTTCGTACATGCAGATACGATTGTGAGTGGTTGCAACGCTGTTACTCGAAGGGATCAACAAGGGCAAGCCTTTACTGAGAAAAATCGCTGTCTAGTAGCAGTAGGATGTTTGACACGACCAGGCCTCAAAAGGTTCGCAACTGTCAATGAGAGTCCACCAGTTGAATTTGAATCCAGGCACACAATGGATGGAAAGTTCTTGTTCGTTGATCCCAGGTAAAAACAAAAAAACTGTGCCTTCCAAGCCCACCTTGTCTCTACAGTTCCTGATATTCGTCGTACTGAGAAAAATGTCTTGCATTGCAACCCAGCTGAAATTATTTCATGCAGGGCCGTAACCAGGGGGGAGCACAGGGTGCACGTGCACCCCCCYATAAAAACTTAAGGTCCGCTCTTGCACTTCCTTTTTTTTTTCTTTTTGGTTCTGCAAATTATTGCCTGTGCACCTCCCTGCAAGATCCCTAGTTACGCCACTGAGTTGGTAATAAAAAAACCTATCAATGGTCCGATTTTATTGGATGTGCACTGCCCTCCCTGTAAAAGTTCTGGTTACGGCCCTGTCATGTCTCATTTGCTGTCAATCATGTGCAACAAAACTGAGCAAACATGCATAACCATTGATAATTTGAAAATGCTCAGTCCCTTGTTATGACTGGCAGAATTGGGAAAAAATCAAACCAAGTCTTGATTACGCAAAGACCCAAGATGTTTTGCAGCAATTTTTTCAATTTATTACTCTCCTTCATACTTGCCTTGCCTCCCACCAATGCGACCCAGGTTCAAGTCCCGCTGGGCTTGGTGTCGTATATGAGTAGAGTTGTTTGTTGCTTCTCTCCTGTACCTCAAGTGTTTTTCTCTGGGTTCTCTGGTTTTCCTCCCTTTGTAAAGATAAACTTCTAAGAGCCACTGTTAATTCCTGTTATTATTTCTTACTAATGACTTCTGCGAAGAAGACTGTCCATTTACCTCTTATACCTTGATTTAAGTGTTATTGAATTATTGTTGTCAAATCATCATTATTAATATAACTTATAATTATCATTAGAACAATCAATTTACCTCTTATACCTCAAATAGCAAATCATCATTATTATTATAACTTATAATTATTATTATAACAATCAATTTACCTCTTATACCTCAAATAGCAAATCATCATTATTATTATAACTTATAATTATTATTATAACTTGTTTTCAATATCGCCACAGATCCATCACCTTGACTGGTTTCTGGCCTTATGAGCTGTTGGGATCCTCTATGTATTCTTACATTCATCACGAAGACATGCAGATGCTCGCCTCTGTTCATCAGCTATGTAAGTTCTTTTTTATGTATCAGTATACCCACCTCCCCCCCTCCCCCC